TTGTGGGGGTGGGGGGGGGGGGGGGGGGGGGGGGGGGGGGGGGGGGGGGGGGGGGGGGGGGGGGGGGGGGGGGGGGGGGGGGGGGGGGGGGGGGGGGGGGGTCTTTCTTTACTTTCACATTTGTATATTTTTGATACATAACTATGTGTAAATGTGAACACATCCTAACTTTTAACTTTCAAGTTTAATTATGAATCCACAACTTCAGCTTGACGTATTATTCCATGAAGGTAACCAGCTTATGTTAGATATTAACAGTACTTTTTTCCCCATGAGTTGATAATACAAACAAACAACACTTTGTGTAACTACTCCCTGGGGCTGGTGGAATACTGAGACTTACTGTTGTCATATCCTAGTTATGAAGGCTATGCACAGCAGCACCTAGTCAGCCCTTTCCCATTCCTCAGCTATCTGTGCTAATATAAAAGTTAAGAGTGGGGGTTAGTGGAAATGCCCCTTTAGTGCCTACTCAGAGGGGAGCACAAATGTTTATGTTACATTCAGTCTGCAGCTGTTCACTTCTTTTATTCCCTGTCAACGGCACTCAAACAACAGAAATGTCTGCAATAGAAAAAATAAGTTTGATCATGTGTTGTTGTAGTAATAAAAATTAATATGTTTGTTGTCTTGACTTGTTATCTACAAACTGGCTTTGCCAGAGTCAGTATTGTACCTCTTGTTAGCTGATAAAAATCAGTAAGAAAACCATTTATTGTATGCATTATTGTAATTAACAAAGTCTATAAACTGTCCATAATTGATGTTATTTGACAAATCCATTGTTTCAGCAAGTTACAGTAAGGCTCTTTAAGAGATCATCAACACTGATCAGATCACAGTTGATCAGTCACTCATTCTTCTAGTATTAGTGCCTCAGCTCTGCTGGAGTTTTTTACTCACCTAAAGCTGAAATCGGGGCTTAACAGGAGCCCTCTGGCCTTTTCACCCAAGAGCTGGTCTGAGTTCTGCCAAGTGAGCAAAGGGGCCAAGGCAGATGAAAAGAATGCCACTAGTTCCTTTGAGGACTAGGTGTAAAATCCCAGAGGAATCACGATTATAAACCAATAGTGGCACCCCAGAGAGGTTTTCTTGGAGTGGGAGCCACACTTAGCACGGCACTCTCTGCTCCTCCAATCTGCAGCCTCCAGGACGAGGATGATTCAGTTGGTCACATTACTCTGCATGGAGCCTATTAGTGTTCCCGGAAGACAGGGGACTGGTGGGGGGGATAACGACACCCCGTCACAGTCCATTCAAAGGGCTGCTTGTTGCTGCTGGGTGTGCTGATAATGTATGTGTAATGGTGTGTGTGTGTTTCTTAATTTGTCAGTCTGCCCAAGACATTGCTCTTAACACTTGTGGATATTCCCCAGCAAACAGGCCCCTGTGGGCCCCATGTGGGCTTTTTGTGGGCACTGTGGGCCAGGGCCAACCTCCACCAAACCTAAACGGGCCCAGTGTGGGCTGGCCCAGATGAGGCCTACAGCTGAACTTTTCCGTGGGCTCCCTACGGGCTTTCACTGGGCAGCCCACACTAGCAAACTGCCCACAGAAAACCCACACAGGCCCAGTGTATGTAAGCCCTTTCGGGCCCACAGCAACTTTTCTACCTCTGGGCCCACACAACTTTTGGGTTGTCAGCCCATACTCCTTCCAAATGAGGTTGTCATCTTACCCTTTTTTGTCCAGCCTTTTGTCCAGCCAAATTTTATTATTTGCTGGGTAGCCGAGAGATATCCTATCCATAGACAGTTTTTTATATTTTTTTTCGGTAACGCTTTAGATTACAGCCCACAATTTACACCGTAACTACTGGGTAGTTACAGTGTAATCTGTTGTACTAACAGTGTACCAGTGTAATACGTACCAATACATATATGTAGGTACAGGGGAACAAGATGTTAAGTTATGGAATAAGGGGCTAACAATTCGTGAATTTACAGAGAATTTATATTATAGGGTTTTTTTTAAACTACCAGGTACCTATTCTATTATAACAGGGTATGTGCGACCTACTGATCAATTATATGGAAGTTTGGGGGAATTTAGAGAGAACTTCTACAATAGGCATTTTTAACTACTGGGTACCTATTTTATTATAACAGGGTATGTGCGACCTACTTATCAATAATATGGAAGTTTGGGGGAACTTAGAGAGAACTTCTACAAGAGGTATTTTTAATTACAGGATACTTATTCTATTATTACAGGGTACAGTTTGACAAAACTGAAAAATCAGATGACTTCTGCAACAAGTAATAAATCAGATGTGATTTTATTTCAAAATGACCTAATTACAAACAAACAGGCAATCTACATTGTTCCTTCATATTTTTAGGGTGTAGCCTATACAGCTACAGGGTACATCTGTGTGTTTACTTCGGAACAAAGGTACAGGTGACAGTATGTTGTCATGGATACTGTTGGTGTCTGAAGACCGTCTTAGCTGTCACTCACCTCACCAACTTGACACTCGTTTATGGCTCCATGACTCTGCTTGCCGTCGGCAGACAGAATTCACCCACCCTAGATGTGATTCACTTGTGTTTTGGTGTAAACACGTTGACAACTTTGAAGTCATTAAAATGTTGAAGGTCTTCTCTCTGGCAATTGTGTTCGTCAGGCATTACGGCTCCTAAACATGCAAGCTTTACTGACAGCTTACTGTGCAGTTAATTTAGTTTGTTTAGTTTGTTCTGTTTTGAGACAAGTAAAATCAAAACAAACATCTCACATTGTTCTCTGTATTTAGAGAACAAGTGATATATGCAGTAGTAGTTTTCCTCGTTACATTTAGTTACAGGGTAAATACAGCTATAAAAGCGCTAATAGTTCCCCGTTGTTACATTTAGTTACAGGGTATGTGGGCTGTATTCTAAAGCACTACTAGTTTACGTAAACATTATCAAAACTAATTTAATGAAAAAGTAAACATTTTAAAATACACAATGTTTTCAAACAATACAAAACCTGCAAAACACACAACAAAACTTACAAAAACCTTTTAAAAGATAATCATGCAGTACAACACAAAGGAACATGAAAAAATATAATAAATTAACCACAGAACTTGTTTTTCACAGGCAACAGCCTGTTTGCCTTCTTCATGTCATCAATCTTACGGCTGGGCTCCACCGGGCACATCAGCGGCGCGCCACATCTGCAGTGCGAGTCCCGTAGCAGCTTGCCCCCCTGTTAATCAATTACAGCAGCTCCACCGGCAACGGGAGCGGCGCAACAACCCCCGTCTGTCGCGCGACAACTCTATTTTACATGGCTCTTCTATTTTTGTCGCGCTACGCTCCCCTACTTGACCCTCCAGCAGATAAAAACTACATGAAATAGTGTGCTGAATGAGCACAATGTGTTTTTAAATGAATAAACCATTATCAGAGGTGATATGTGAAGATTTTTTTTCATGAATTTACACATGTTTATCCGTGACATTGTGTAAATGTCCATGGCGGACATTTGAAAGCGAGTAGATGACAAACAGTACAGTAAACTTGTAGATAAATATATGTAATAACTTAGGTGGAAAATGCTTTGACATTTCATGCAGCCTACATGCAGCCTCTCGGCTCGGCAAACGGTAAACAACCCCGCTGGCTTCTCTAGGTGTTGTTTCCATATGCAGTCAATGGAGCCCAAATGAATACGCCGCGACGCTACACTGACATGATGCTTACATTTGCAGCCGTTGGAGCCCGGCGGTTAGTCTTCACTTCTGGGGAGCTTTCGACAAATTCCTTCAGCGTTTTAGCATAGGACTGCAGGGTTGTCCCTGCAGCATGGGGAGGTGGTATGTAGGCCTCCCCCTCCGAGGCAATTGTCACCTGTGATTGACAGTTTTAATGTGAAAACTAGTGTCCTGAATGTCAAAATTAACTCATTTATTGTCACTTGTTAGGGGTAGCAGACAATAATATATTTTTAAGTTTATGTGATTGTTGCAATAATGGGGAATGCTCACTCAAATATACATAACAGCAAGCTGTGTGGTAGCAACAGTACAATTACTTTAACTTATTTCCAATAATTCTTACTGTGGCAAGGCGAGCGGTGTGGAAAAGTTGCAGACAACGCCACCTGGGGGCTTTCACCCCAGGATATAAACAGGATTTAAAAATTACCAATCTTCAATTTGAAACAAAGGCACACAGTTCAAAAGATCCCACAGGACAAAAGCGTGATTTCCAATTATAAAAATACCTTTATTAAACAATTTTAAAATGAGCAACAGACTAAATAAATAATAAATCTAATCATAAGGAGTGGTATGAGGAGTTACCAAAAGGAAAATGGGACAGGGCTGGGGCTTACCACGACAGCGGTAACGAAAAGGGGAGGTATCCAAAAAACTACACTGCACCCATGACACAGCAAACCAGAAAAACGTGAACAAGGAACCACCACCAGAGGAACCGCTCGCACACAGGCCCAAGGGAGACAGCCCAGCTCCCGGTAACACCACACTGCTAGACGGAGCAAAACCGGAGTAACACAGGGCCCATAACACTGAATTAATGGAGCAGAGCAGAGCACGCATACCTTTGTTTTGAAACCCGATCTGCTAACCAGCGAGACGCGGCCACACACGGCTGTCGGCTCCGTGAAGAAGGAAGAGGAAGCGGAAAGGAAGGGGAAGGGTCCGACCAGCCCTGCGTTCCAATACCCATACTACCATACTATTTAGTATGCCAGAAAAAGAATTTGTGTGTCCCAATACATAGTATGTCAGATGCAGTATGCCAAAAGTACCAGGATGTTCTACTACATCCGGTCACATTTCGCAGTATGCATGTCAGCATGCTTCTTTGGCCATTCTGACCCACAATCCTTTGTGCAGCGGAAGTTACGTCACACTGAGCTGCGCGTACAACCAACGCCCACACTTCCTTTCATACATGGTTTATTTAATTTGAGATACTAAGACACTACATATTAGGACTGCAATGATCTGATTATATACTGTCACATATCATACAGTTTTGCAAGAACATGCTTACAACATTCAACTTTACTGTGATTATAGTATAATCAGTGTTAGGGTTCAACTATGACTACAATATAGAAGATTCTACCAGTACAGGCAGTGGTGTAAGTGTGGTATAAATAATGAATGAATATGACTAAATATGAATACACTATGGGCCAGGTATGAGCAGTATAGACTAGTAAATATATGAATAGTAAAAGTCAAACACATATTAAGTAATGTAGTAAGAATGTGCAGGTATGTTACACTACAAATAAAAGTAATGTGAATGTAAGGCTGCCTCACGTGCAGACAGAATATAGTGCCAGCAGCTGCA